CCACCTCCACGCTGACCACCTCCACGAAATCCACCTCTGTGAAATCCCGGGTTGTTTTTTAAAGGTTCACTATCCACACCTCCACCACTTCCCTGCTTGTTGGAGTGTTGATCATATTGGCCTCCATGAACCCTCTGGTTGTTGTTAATGTGTCCGTTGTCTACAGCTCCAGGACTTCCCCCCTTGTTAAAGCGCAGTCCATTTCCGTCTCCAGGACCTCCTCCATGAATTCCCTTCTTGTTAATGTTTTCACCTTCTCGACCTCCACTACCTCCCTGGTAGTTGTCAAAGTGTCCACCAATTCTTCCGCCACGACCCCCACGGCAGGAATTTCCTCTATATCCTTTGAAAACTTCACACTTTTTCCCATTGAGATCTGCTGTGCTTGTGTCACTATCGTCTCTGCAAAATCCACTAGAGGAATTGCCACTACACCAATCCTTGGAGCCAAAGTTGTTGAACTCTCCAAAAGCTTTACTAGCTCCATTTGTCTCCACAACCTACAAGCGTAAATATGATATGTTTGAAATTTATCTGCTGCCAAATAGGTACAAGTTAAGCAATTCACTAACAGACAAATTTTTCAAGTACTCTGATCATCAAATCTTAGCCACAAAATTTGAAAATAGTCAAACTTCATGAGAAAAGTTGTAAGAATTGTTTTGGTCACATTTATCAGAAAAAAAAAACATATCCCTCACATTGGAAACCATAGTTGCGAACTAACCAAGATTTCACTAAAATGCATAAACTTTGGAATCTTGTTCGCAAACTATGCGGCATCAATGCAAGTTCATACCTTGGCATTAGCTCCTTTTGATCCAGTTGCATCCGCACAGACTGCATGGCTGGACAAAACTGATTCATTCACATGCTTCTCCAGATATAGTGGATCCCAAAGAGCTTCTTCTGATTTAGTAGCATCAACAGTGCAAGATGAGTCCAATTCATCTCCAACCTTCTTCAGAGTTGGTTCTGGTGCTTTACCTTTGTACTTCTTCTCGAGTGCATCCCAAGCTTGTTTAGATGTTTTGGCATTAGCGATGCAAGAGAAAATGGATTCATCTATAGACAGCTGGATTAATAACAAGGGTGCAGCATCCCTCTTTCGAACATATTCAACCTCCTCAACAGTGAGCTCCTCCTCTGTATAGCCTCCTTCCACCAAGTCCCAAAGATCTTGGTACATTAACATAGTCTTCATCTTACTGCTCCATGTCTCATATCCACTCCCGTTGAACCGGGAAATTCTACTCAACAAGAAGCTTTTGATGTTTTCCAATTTACAAAGCAAAAAAAAGGTTAACACATAGAAATAGAATCCCTGTGCAATTATTATAATAAGGGTATAGATCCCAAAAAAACATATCTGGGTTCTTTTACCCCTTTGACTACGACCATTCATTATGATAACTTCATTTACACTCTTTATCCCAAAATGTTCTTCACACCTTCCTTTTCGCATCGTCCCAAAGAGTTCTTCTCATTTCATTTTCCTTGAGGACACAATTATGTTGTTTACATTGATTCGTCCTTCATAACAAATATCAAACAGACAATTTCACACTTGTATTGTGTTGCTAAGTGAACATCATACAATTACGGCAATTAGACAATTTACTTTAGAAACAAATAAGATTGATTCCTCTTTTTTTACGGTAATAAAAATCTCAACCTAAGGAGAAAAACATCATGTTCGGAGGTAGTGAGTTTCTGGTCTGAACAGTGAATGCGATCACGCACTGAATTGAATCAGAACTCAGAAGTGTACCAAACTAACCACAATTCCTTGCGATCTTCACTCGGCTATGCGAAGACAAATAAACCGAAACAAAAATTCACAGATCCATAATTAGACACACAAAAAACAAGGAATTGAGTTCAGATCATTACCCAATATCGGCAGGTTTTCTCTCCGCAGCCTCTACGGCTTTTCCCGGCTCGGCCGGTGTTTCCTTGTTGAAGTATCCGAGTTGCTCAGCGACTTTGGAAATTGTTGCGACGGCCGTCACGGCGGCGAGCACGGTGGGATACATCTCCGGTGGAAAGGCGGATTGGGGAATGGAATCGGAGAGAAAAGGGGAAACCCCTGTGAATAGGTCGATTGGTCAATCACATTAAAGGACTTGTGGGGTCAACTACCCGAAAGAAAATGATGCCGGATTGATGTGTATGGTGGTGCCGACGGAAAGAATATGTCTTTTCAAAAGGTTGCCAAAAAGTCATTCAAATACAATTAAGCCTCAGAACGATTTTTTATGTTCAAAATATTACAGAAATATTATTTGACCAAGGATGAAATAGATCTCCATGAACATGAAAGTCAAAGAGATTCATCACTATGGTCATTTTCTTATGTGTTGATTGTAGACCATTAATCTCAGAGAATAGAGAGGTTTTATGGGATAGGAAAATAAGATACTCTTTGTGTTGACTTTTGGTGGTTTTTAAGGAGAGTTGAAAAAAGGTGAAAATTTACCATAATACCCTTAATGAAAAATGGGTGGAGTGTATTAAATGAGGTGGGTGAGGTGTAATAAATAAAGTAAGTGGGGATAATTGTGGTATTTTAATTGTAAAAAAATGAAATGAGAAGATCTATTGTGGACAATGAAAAAGGGCTATTGAGAAGATTTATGAGGGACGGAGGGAGTATTTCCTTTTGTTGAAATTGTGGCAGCTAAAAGAAAGAGTAAGAATAGAGAGGCCGGGGTTTTACAAATGAAACAACTACTCAATGTTACCAAAGACGTGGCAAAAGATATGTTAATCAACCAAGTTATACCTGCAATTCATGAAAAATGGCTCTCTTTCTTAGACAGGGTAATGCCAGACCTCACATTTCTGGCACAAATCAAGAGTTTATGGCAATAACAAGTGCAAATGATTTCAACATAAGCCTAAGTAACCAACCCCCTAACTCCCAAGACCTAAGTAGCCTAAGTAACCGACCCCCTAGCCATTCAATCACTGAAAGAGAAGTACGCTCCAAAAAATGTGGCACAACTTGTGGACGCAGTTAGGGGTGCATATGCAGCCCTTACATCAGAGACATTGAACAAGGTATTATTGAGCTACCAACATGTGATGCAGGAAGTTATGAATGATGAGGGAGGAAACAAGTATAAGTTACCGCATATGGAAAAGGATAGGTTGGCTAGACAAGAAGCACTACCAGTGATTCTGAATGTACCACATACATTGGTGGAGAAGACAATAAAAGCCCTTGCTCAGGGCAGTGGCCAAAGTGAACAACAATTGCTATCTGAGTCCATGACTGAAGATGAAGAGACTTCTCATCTTGACCTTTTTGGTTGCAAAATCAAGACAACTACTCAAAATATACTCCAATCAGTTTTCTTTGACTACCACTCACAATATGTAACCCTAATGGAGTACTAGAACTTTAAAAGTAAATTGCATTATCATCATTGATGTGTTTATATTTTTTGTGTGTGGATAAGGTGAGCAAAGCCTCAAAAATTCAGATAAGGTAAAGAAAGAAATACTTCACTTTGTATTCCTTGTAGGAGAGCAATCTTGGAATTTGTTGGACCATGCCAACCCCATCATCAGTGACATTGGAGTGGCTGCCCATGTCAAAACAAGGCACACGGTCTCTGCCTTGCCCTTCCTCTGCCCCATGGTCTTACATCTGATTCGCTCCTAAGCCTTACATGGGTTCGTCATTGAAATTTTCTCATATTCTCTACCAGCGATGACTATGCCTGGATATGGGAGAGAATCGGAGTCAGATCCATCATCATTCGACTCACTCTCTCCGTCCTCAAACTCTGAAACCTCCATTTTTTCCTTCTCGTCTTCCTTGTTCAGCAATTGAAATTGAATCTCGCTCTTTGAGATTTGAGGGATTTGGTACTCAGAACTCAAATCCACAGAATCTATCTGTAGGTTGGGCGGAAAAGATTATATTTAGGATTTTATGAAAGAGTAAAGTTTTACAAAAACGGGTAAAGGGCGATGAAGTTACAGAGAGACTGAGAGAGGCGGAGAGGGAGAGACAGAGAGACAAATATATAGATCTAGGGTTTAGAGAGGAGGCGAAGAGCAGAGAAGAAGAGATAAGCTTAAGATTGACGTAACTGAAAGGGGCGTAAATGTGGTGTAGATAAGGTTGTTGTGTGGCGTAAATGGGGGGGGGGGGTAATGTTGTCATTACACGGTCCTTTTTTGGGTTTGGGGAAGTAGTTTTAGGTTGAAAAAAAGAAAGTGAGAAGATAATTTTAGAACGGATAGAGTAATATTGAGATCTTTAAAGTCCAATCGGTTCAATCCTAAATTATTTCGAATTTGGACTGGACCAAAATCCAAATGCCTTTTTTTATCAAAGACCAATCCAAAATCCAATCGGTTCAAGTTTGGTCTAGACCTAACATCAAGTTCAATCAATTTCTCAGTTCGAAGGGAGTACTATATCTCTCCTTTCAAAAACTTTATCGCAATTCGCAAGTCACTATTCAAAATACACAAAAACTATTTTTTTATTTGTATGTTCACGTTGACTATTTGATAAAATAAAACATTCTTATCACCACTGATTTTGAAAGACTTTTCTCGTAGTTTTTAAATATGTAAATTTTACTCCCTCCGTCCCAAATTTTAATGTCTGTTTACTATTCACAAGGTCAAACTTCATTCACTTTCTTTCTCTATTTTCGTTAGCAATTTGATAAAATAAAATAATATTGTCACTACTAGTTTTGTAGATCTTTTGATGTAGTTTTTTAATATGTAATTTTTATTTTTTAATTCTATACCATTTGTCATATAAAATGGTTTGAAAATAATTTCAGTCAAACATCGTAAACCGAAACAGGCGTTATAAATTGGGACGGAGGTAGTAATATTTATTTCTATATCAATCTTTGAATAAAATGAATTGAAAAAATTTAAAATTTCACTTTATTTTGTGTAATATGACAAATATTTTGGAAGTATTTGAATTTACACATATTCATATACGAGTAGAAGAGTGATTGTAATGTTGCTTGACTTCATTTCATTCATTGTACAAACGTGACTAATAAAATGACAACTCCCGACAGTCAAATCATAACTATTCGCGATGGGAAATGGGATTTAGGAATCATAAAGCAATTTAATAATGTTAAAATATAATTCCTCAAACTCCAAATTTCATCCCTCTCGCACGCAATGGAGAAAACAATTCATTACAAAGCAGTCATAGACAAGAATATACTAAAGCAGTTCATGGGAAGCCCGGGAGAATACCTTCATTTGATTCCTAGGGCACGCTTTGCAAGTTTCTCGGCCTTTGCCAGTTCGCGGTTCCTCTTGAAGCGCTGTGCTGGGGTTTCTTCAAACGGACTCCTGGCAATTAGTTCATGAGGCCTTCCGGGATTCTTCATCATCTTCACCTTCTTTCCTTCTTCCGGTTTTGGAACCGGTTCATCTGGTCCGAGCAGCTTCGATATACCCCAGGCAGCAGCAGCCACACCAGCAACAATGCCCAATGTTTTGATGATCTTGACCGTCTTACTCTCCTCTCTGCGCACTTGGAGAATGACTCTGATTCCGTGCTTTGGAGTGACTGTAAAGCCTCGGACTGGGGAGTGATTGTAGGCAGGAGAGAGCGTGAACACAAAGCGTCTCAGGATCATGGAAAGAACCACTTTGGCTTCAAGCTTTGCAAAATTCCACCCCAGCCATGCTCCACGGCCATGTCCAAAGTGAAAGACTGTCGGGTTCCTTTTGTCCCCGTCAGGCTGTTCTTCTGCGTTTCCATTGCTGACCTTCAGTTTGAAGGGCACTAGTGGATATAGCCTTGCACAGTCTTCTAGAATCTTATCTATCTACAACAGCAGCAACAAACGTAGTAAACCCCCACAAAAAAGCAGAGTCTAACAAGAATGTGTGTATGTAGACTTTACTCCTAATTGAAAGTAGAGAGGTTTCCAAAAGAAGCCCGGATCAAACACAGACACACAAACAAAGTCAAAGTAAACACAGACATAGTACACAATAGCACAAACAGAGTAAGAGTAGAGTAGGAGCAGAAAGACAGGAAGCAGTAGCACACAAATTGACACTAACAATTACACCTGAAACTGGAAACCCCCGGTGCTTATGTTTACGCTTTACGAGTGCAAAATATGACTTAGTAATGTACTTGGGGAAGACATAGTCTATGTACTCCCTCAAGTCAACATTAAGCAGAGTAAGGAATAATCAAATGAAGAACTGTTTTGACAATATTACCCCTCTCATAATATAGCATAATACTCATAACTATAATTGAATATGTTGTCTTGGTTTATCAAAGGCAAGAATGAAAAATAACATTAAATTTCATCTTGGTTTTATATTGCCACGCAACAAAAGTTTTTCTCCGAACTATTATCTATTGTGAACATGTAAAGTGTATATACATTTTCCATTTATTCATTTTAAGAAACATTCAATATATCAAAATATAGACCCTCCATCCAAGTAGACCCTTAGTACTTACAACTGTTAGCTTTTCAATGCCTTCAGGATTGATATATTCACAGCCAAATATTTCAATTACTTCTTTCCTTGCTCTTTCCTGCAAGTTCTTGTCTCTAGATAGCATATGGACCATCCATCCTAGGATAGATGCTGTTGCAGTGCATCCCACAAAGCAGAATGCCATGCACTCATGTGCAATTTCTTCATTTGAATACTTATTGTTCTTTTCACTTTCTTGATTCGTGGCAAAAGGTTTCCCGGGGAAACCTTTCCTAAAAAGTTCTTCCAACGTCTTTGACTGCTCATGTTTCTTGGACTCAAATGCATCATTCTTCTTCACAACCCAACTGTGCATTCAATAAAAACACAGCATTTAAGTTTAATACAGGAAAAACCAATCCTTTGTTGGAAGATGATGTTTTTTCTGACAAACATTCAAAATGAAAGGGGTAATGCTAAGCAAATAAAGTATAAGATCATTAAAACCATTAAGCAGCATATCTACTAGTGCATAACTCTTGATAGCACAGGATACATGTAATAACTTCATATCACTTCAATCATAATATGTTAATTGAGTTAAAATTTCAATTATTAAAAGGTACTTCAATTGGTAAAGAAAACACAAAAGCACTTAACCACTTACGATGGAGTTTGATGATCCCCTAGCAACTAAGGACTAAATCAACAAAGATATCAAGTATAATGTGTCCTAGAATGACTAGAAAGCTAATTATTCATGCTGCCTCGGCTCCAGATATATGGACATGAATATGATCCTTTCACCTCACCTAATTAATAGAACAATTATATGATTTCTATTAGAGCCATGCCAGTGATGAGGAAATATTTCATGAGTGAGTAATTTTGGGGACGTAAAGCATCCCATTGGTGTGGAAAACAAATAGACACGCGAGTTTTTTTCTCACTCTACGTGAGGAATTTTTTTCTTCATTTTTGAGAATTTGGAGTGAGAGAGTAGATATGAGCGAAAAGTGTTTACACACCAAAAAGATTGATGAGGAAATATTTTTCCTCACCATTGAGATTGCTCTTAGGGTATAAACCTTTACTCGACTTAAAAGTACAAATCTACAAGTTCCATCTTTTGGTTAAGTTGGTTCTGGAGGTCGTGTGTTTTGGAACTTAGTTCAAAAATCAAAACATGGGTCGTGTTAGGGTCTATAACTTTTCTTAAGCCTACAACCACAAGCTAGCTATAGCTTTTTACTTGATAATTTCATCAAACTTGTACCAGATTTCACTAAAACGCACGAAAAGAAGGTAAAATGGTGAAAGAAACTACCCCATGTGAGGAGATTTGTTGTTTGCTTCCATACAATTCTTTCCAAAAGCAGTATTGGAAACGAGTTCGGAAGCCAAAAGGCAGAATTGTTCGAACACCTCAACGTCCTCTCCATCGCGTTTCATCCAATTTTCCAGAATCGTCTCCCCGCTCTTGACCATGCCTGCAAACATTCCCTGCAAGCAATCAAAACACATCATCAGGCCACCATTCTCTCTGTCAGTTGAGAAATCCTCATGCGCGACTTAATTGCTTACGTTGAGGCTGTCCTCTAATGGATTCCGGCGAGAGGGATGAAGATCTAGGGTTTGGAGACTTCGATCGCCGGAGACGTCGACCTTGGGTTGATCGGGCGATGAGTTCGAGAAGTGCATGGCGAAGCCCCAGGCTGTGGAAGCGGCATCTGTTACAGCATCAAATGCTTTTGCAAACCCAGCCATTTTCGTTGGGAGGAATTCCTGGCTTTCTCAGAGTGATTTCGATGCTTGAAGATGGGGAAAGACGGAAAGTTTTCAGAAAGAAAAAAAAAAGATGAAAGGAAGCGTTACATATACGTACGGTCGTACGGAGTAATTTCTAATTTCTAATTTTTAAATTTTTGTTTTAAATACTGAGTATTTGATTTTTAATTCTTAAATATTAAATTTTATATTTTAATTTTTACATTTTAAATTTTAAATGTCAAGTTTTAAATTTCAATTTTTAGTTTTTTAATTTTTAATTTAAATTTTAGTTTTTAATTTTTTTATTTATATGAAACGCTTCTTTGTTATAACGTATAACCCTGAAAGAATCTGCATGATTTCATTTTAACCTATGAATTCAAATTTTGGATTTCCAATTCTTTTCGTGTGCTATGGAATTCAAAATGTAGAATTGGAAGATTAGGAATAAGAATTCAATGCTAATTTCAAATATTTTGTACTACCAAGCAACAGAATTGAAATTTGAAGCCTTCAATACTAATTTTATGACCTTAAATTTGTGTAACAAATAGAATCTTAATTTTTGTTGGGAATTCGGGAGGGGTGGTATTAGCATTATGTAAAACGATATACGAACTAATGTGAAGATTGCATTTTTTTTCAAATGTTGGGAACACATATAGCAAAACCTAGATCACATATAGCAAGTGTGGGTGTATCTTAAAACGTTAAATAAAAAATAAAAATCATAGATATGACAACATGTCACTTCAAAATTACTCATATTTCTTTTATAAAACTAGTATTTTTAACACGTGCAATACACGAGATGGAACGAAATATTTTTTGATTCTGCAAATTTCCTTTACTATAGCATTATTCAAAAATCGAATAAAAAGACATATTTTGAAGAGCCTTCCATCCAAACTTGCCACACTTTGTTATTGATCATTATTTGTGGCCATTGAGAACACTTCCACTGGACAAATCTGTAGCACTTTGAAAACCAAACCATTCCTAAGATCATCTTCAGTTGTAGACTGAGATAAGTTCCTAACAAAGACCTTAATCAGTTAAAGGGGCTGAGTATTGTCTTCTCGACACCCATGCCTCTTTCTTCGCTTGCGGATGAGATAAAATATTCCACGCACACTTGCTTGCCATTCAACATTGTACCATTCATCTTCTCGATGGCGTTCTGTAAAGCTTCCTCGCTCTCATTTTCAATATAGCCATGCCACTTGGACACACCCGACCCATCTCTTACCACTTCGCAAGAAAGAACATTTCCAAGTGTAGAAAATACATCTCGGAGTGTCTTGTCATCCGGTTTCTTTTTCAAAATGTGGCTTCCCCCACTTTTGAGATCAAGGGCCTCTTCATGAGAATGCTTCGGAGTCGAGTTCATTCCATCTTGAAGCTTAACCACCTGCATATGTGTCATTGCATTTTACCAAAATTAGATTTAATAAAAACACTATTTCTTTTATTTTTTCTTTTCGCTTCCCTCTTATGTTTTATAATCTCCGATAAACTAGACAAGAAACTATTGAGGAAATCATTGCATTGCATGAAAATAAATATAAATTCATGTTTTGCAAGCATTGAGTGCTTGTTTTTAATATAAGGAATGAATAGCTTCATGTGGCTGTTCTAGTGCATTCCGCTGTTCTTTCAGTTTGATTTCATTAGTTGTGAAAGAAGAATTTGATTCCCTTTTTGGTTTACTGCTATTATATTTACCAAACACAGAATGCCCGTTATTAAAGAATTCGTCACGCATGCTTGCCTGACCTCCCTTGCTTCCGATAAAGGGTTGTCCATCGAAAACGCTGTTACCAAACAAAGCCAAATTCTCTCTTGTTGTGTGTATATGGCTCCTGTTTAGGATCTAAAAAAATCATTTAGAAACATAATTTTGAGTTATTACAGAGTATATTTTTGGTGTTGTTAAATTTACTTCCATTCACTAAATCTACTCCGTTTATGTTAAATGGACCAACATCTAATATCTTTATTTGTGCTTTTAAGGATAAAATTGTTCCTTTAATACAAAAACTCTGTTGTTTTGGGTTGAAATTTCATAGTTGGATATTGAAAAAAAATTAGAAAGAGTTGAAAGAAATTGGAAGAAGTTATAAGACACTAGAAAAAGTTGAAAAATGTTGAAAGAATCTAAAAGTTAAAAAATATCAATTTAATGATCATCCAAATAAATATGTAAGAAAAACTTTAATGTTGAATAAAAAAGAATTCATCATAGTCCATGTTTGGGCAAAATGTTACTCCCTCCGTCCTAAAACTATTTTCCCAGTTACTATGTACACGGTCAAATTTAAATCATTTTTTACCTATTTTCGTTAATTATTTGATAAAATAATACTCTTTCCGTCCCTCTAAGATCTTCTCGTTTTGAATTTTTGTGGTTTTTAAGGAGAGTGAAAAAAGGTGAAAGTTTATCATAATACCTTTAATGAAATGGGTGTAGTGTATTAAATGAGGTAGGTGATGTGTAATAAATAAAGTAAGTGGGGATAGTTGGAATATTTTAATTGTTAAAAAAAGTAATGAGAACATCTATGAGAGACAAATAAAAAGGGTTAATGAGAAGATGTATGAGGGACGGAGGGAGTATAATCTTGTCACATTTTGTTTTGAAATACTTTTGATGTAATTTTTAAATATATAAATTTTATTTTTTAATTTCACACCTATAATCAAATAAATAAAATTAAAAATTAAGGCGGTCAAACCTCGTAAATACAAATAGAAGATAGCTTTAAGACAGAAGGAGTATAAATTTAGACATACTAGTATAATATTATCTTATATTAATCATATATGAATACATTTTTAAATCGTTGTTAGTAGAAGTCAGGAGTGTGAAAGAACCAGAAGGAGTTGGAAACAACCAGACCATTATAAACTCTTTAGCAATGAAGGCCATGCAGTTGCTGTGGTGTAGTGGTTATCACGTCAGTCTTACACACTGAAGGTCCCCAGTTCGATCCTGGGCAGCAACATTTTTCATTCTTATTTCTTTTATTTTTTTTAATATTTTAATATACTCCATAAAGCTTCATGCAGTCAAACAAATTCCCATTCCCATGATTCATCGCCTCCAATTCGCCCAATTTCAACTTCTCCGCATCCTCAAGAATCAGCGGCGGCCACTCTCTGTTCAATTACCATGTGCGGTTCACAGCAATAAGTCCCCGTTTTCTTGCCCTTCCGCCTCAAACAGAGATATGGTGACGCTGGTGGTGGCGACGACGGCGGATCCGGCATCCTTTGGGCCGTCCACGGCGCTGCTCTCCATGCCCGGGTGGACTCCCGGCCCGAATCTTGACTCCGGCATCAGAAGCTTCTCCAACAAGCACCTCCGATTGCTTCAGCATGATAAGAGTATTGTCGAAGAGGATGACTTGGATCTCCGCTGGACCCAGGCTTCCGGCGAGCCCGTCGACGAGGTCATCTTCCTCAGCAAGCACACCGCCGTCTCCAACCGGCCGGCCCTCACCATCCACCCCATCGGTATGGAGATTTCAACTGTCAGCTGAATAATAACAATTTCACAGTGAGGGTTTTCATATTTCCTCCGGGTGATTTTGCCTAATTGCTGTAAATGTGTTACCCTGATATTGAATTTGTTGTTTAGGAGTGCCCCATTTGAAGGAAGGTGATGTCCCGCCGCAAGGAGGGAGGCCCGGGTGGGCGGCACCGCCTAATCCTAGGATGGGTCCTTGGCTGGTTCTCTTGAAGAAGATTGCTCATGATCATAAACTGCTTCCTGAGTTTGAGGTATACATATTTTTTCTGAATTGTGTGGAAAGTTTGCATTTTTTTATTATCTAAATATGCACAAATTATCTACTCTTGCTCCTTATGATCTGTTTGGATAGTTATTTCATTCATAAACTTGGAGTTTGGATTTGGGTCAGGCTTTTTTTGGGATAAGAAATCCATATCATGTTTTACAATGTACAAAGTTTGGATTTCTAAATGACTTCAACACCCAAAGGATTTGCATTTGAGTTTCAGAATTAGAATTCTCCCCGAGGTTTGCCAAACGCAGATTTTTTATTTTCAATTCCGGAATTGTGAATCTCAAGTGATTTCCAAACAAAGAACTCAAATGCCAAGTACTTGATTTTAAATTTTTTAGAATTAAATATATGTATTTCAAATTATATCCACACGTCCAAATGCAACATTAATGATAGTTTGTCTTGCTGATAATTGTGTTTTGTTCTATGTTTAGATTACTTTGGAGGCCACTCATCACGGACCCATCACTACCAAGCCAACAATGTTCATTGAGATAGGTATGATTTGAGATAACTTGTCATTTTAATTTCCACCATCTGTACTACTCGTGAAGTATCACGATTTTACAATAGAGCAGAGTATCAATAGCCATGTTTTTCAAATAGTGTTCTGATTTCTGTATTTGCCAAAAATTACGTAGGTAGTACCGAGGAGTACTGGAAGAGGGAAGATGCTGCGCATGTTGTTGCTTTAGTGAGTATAGTTCATATTTACCTTTTAAGTATGTGGAAAGCCTATCTGCTCCATGTCTTGTGTTTCTTGAAGTTAAGCAAGGGTAATATGGTAATAATATGCTCTCTCGGGCTCACAATGAGTGTTGGTTTGGAAGTTTTGGTACAGTATAAACTCTTCTTTTTCATTTGCTCTCTATTAACAACAAAGACGATGCTTTCTGGTTTGCCTTTTCGCTCTGTTTCGCGTGTTTTTGTGCTACCTAGTGAACAAGAGGGAGTATGTTGCTTGACATCTTGAATCAACTCATGACCCATTGGTAATGAAGGGAATGGGCTTTCGTTTTTGCTCCCATTGCCAATGGAGCTAAAAGTGTCTTCTATTGACAATGTTTAGGTGTCGAGTATATAATGGTGCATTAAACTTCCTTTGCTTCTTACTTTCTGCTAGTTTTGGGTACTAACGACAACAATGCATCAATGGTCTACAAAAACAGCCTCTCTAGATAGTATTTCGAGTTAGCCACACACTACAAAAGTTTTGCTAAAATAGTGTTTTCTTGCTCTCAAAAAGCTAGTTTGGGAAGGACTTGGTCTGGAAGGAGGAACTGCCATCGGGACTTGGAACAGGTAATGATTATCAATCGCTTCTTATAAAAAAAATAGATACTGTAAGTCTGTAACGTGAAAGATTATATCAAGAGTAACAGCATACCAGAGTCCTATAGAAGCGCGGTGTGTGGGAAGAAACTAAAATGTACATTTCCTAGTTTTCATAATTTTGTTGACACCGGTCCATTTGAGCACCCTATAGTGCCTCTGTTTGACTGAAAAGTAGTTCCCACCCCCAAACTCCCCTCCCTACAAACCTCACACTCCCAGCACCCCCAACCAGTTTGTGGGGTTTGGGGGGGGGGATTAGGAATCACTTCGGGGTTGAATAGAGTATCGTAGGGTACCCAAAAGAATCTAGGTGTTCATTAATATATGTGCTGATTCTTACTTTTTGTAATAAAAAAGAAATTATATTCTCAAATCATTATGATGATGGTTTACCAGCTGCAGCACACAAAAGAAAAAGGTTCTTCTTGGACTTGGTGGAGGGCACTATGTTCCCAGGCATATGGACATAATCCAGTTAAGTCATTTGGTTTTGGCCAGACATTCTTCTCCCATCAGTTTAAGCTTTTCAAACTGGTTTTCAAAAATGTCTATTTACCGGGCTTCCAACAAACTTACAGTCATAGTGTTTCTGAAGAACATCAAATGTTTTTTCCCCTTCTTGAATAATTTATATAGGAAAGATGGCGGATGGGTTGGCCATCTCCTGTCAGGGTATTTGTTGCCGATGGAAGATCCAGGACAAACAAAAGTGAAAGCAGAAGATGTTAGAGGAACTTGGCGACAAGCGATTAAAGCGGCTTACGATGCCACGAGGGAAGCTTTTCCTAATGGTGAAATTTTGGCTCATCTTGACCAGAAGTAAGACCTTGCTCTTTTCAACTTTTTAGTTCACTTATCCATTTTCCATATTTCAGTCACTAGAGTCCAGTTAAAATTAAGGTAATGACCTAAGTATGGTTTGAAAACCTACAAGTTTAATTTAGTTGCATACACAAGATTTCTCAAAACATACTCCCTTCGTCCCTGTTTAAATCGCCTGTTGTTGTTTACGAGGTTTGACTGAAATTATTTTCAAGTCAATTTATTTGAAAATTGGTATGGAATTAAAAAAATTAAATTTATATATTTAAAACTACATCACAAAAACGACAAAATAAGGGGTGAGAAGACTTTATTATTTTATCAAATGAGTAGCGAAAAATGGGCAAAGAACGTGGTTAAAGTTTGACTTTGTGAATAGTAAACATGCGACTTAAATTGAGACTGAAGGAGTAGAATTTATTTACAATACTCATTCGTTTCATCACGCAAGTTGCCAAATCCATTGTACATACAAGCTACATTGTTCTCTAACATTTTTCTTCCAAGTTCTGTGTTTTATTTCCCGCGATCATACAAGTCTAAGTTTGGAATATTGCAAAAAGAAAAATCTAAAAGGCTTCTTCGCGCTCTAATATGGCTACAGGAGCTTCAAGGGCTGGCAGAAGAACGTCATCACCGAATACTTAGCGTCGCAACACATTGAGGTTGGCAAGCCAAGCGACTTCTATTGATTGTTATGAACCCCGAGGTTCTATGGCTTCAATTGCGGATTTCACTTTTATAGGGTATATTGCATTTTAGTAGGAGAAAGTTCTACGTACATACACTCTCTAGTTTTTTTTTGGGATTTTATTAGATTTGTTGTCGTCGTAGGGTATATTGCATTTTCACTTGGGCATTCTCATGCCAATTCTTACACTTATGCCAATTTTATGGGTTCCATTTGCTTAGTAAAATTAAGTTTGTTTATTTATCTGTACTTTAATTCCTATGTAAAGTAATTTAGTCTTCCAAGTTCTTTTTTTTTTTTTGACGATAGTCTTCCAAGTTCTATTTATGTAATAGTTTAATAATTTCTATGGAGATTTAAATACATGGTTAGTTTTGTGTTACATTACTCCCTGCCCTAAAAAAATTTGCCTAGTTACTATTTCGAGCTTCCCATAATTTTTATTTGCAAATGTATTTTTAGTAATCATTTGATAAAATAAAATATTCATGTCAGTATTTGTTTTATTTCATTTTTTATGTAGTTTTTAAGTATTCAAGTTTTATTTTTTATTTCTATATAAATTTGTAAATAAGATTATTTTTAAAAAAGGTAAGGGGATTTTAAAGGTAAATAAAAAATTTGTTTTCTTAGTTATTTGGATTTTAAAGGTAAAATTATATCATAGAATTACTGTCTGTTCTCGAGATCAAACACGTGATCTCTAATGTGAGAGAGCCATAACGATATTATTGGATTATAAAGTTTTTGGCTGATTAATTGTCTTTAAAAGCATGAATTTTTAATTATTAAATGTCAAAGTGTTATATTGGTAGTCATAAAAAGTAAAATAAAGATCTTTTTGGGATGGTGCGAGTAATTCTTAAATGTGATTACACAAGTTTTAATTATGATATCTACCATGAGTAAAAATCAATATGCACTTTTTTTGTTATTTCAATTTCATTTTTTTCATCTATTGGAAGTATTATTATTGTGGAAGCGTATATCATTGTGCAAGGCTTTATTACATGGTCCTTCCCTAATTTATGACCAGGTTGTTTTTTGATGTGCACACTTTGTCTTGATCATGTGTCACATGGTGCTTAAATACTTCTGGCACTAAATTATTTGACATGGAGCAGATGTGTTAATTCTTGGACCGCCAAAAACTTAATGAAATTCATCAATGGCTAGCACTTTAAATTTATACTATTAAAATAAGACATTTTTTGGTTTTACCTTCTAAAAAAGAGCTATGACTTGACATTGTATGTTGATATTTTTATATTTTTTGGCATTAGAGCACTGGAATTACACCTAACGGCCAGGCTCGTTATGCAGGCATTAAAAATTTTGCGTTAAAGGTTTGACGCATCATTTGCTGCAGACGAACATTGCCCCCCCCCCCAACGGTCTAATTTTAGGCTGTTTCCCAACTTAAATTTTTTAATTTTTCAACTATAAATATCTCTTATTTTTAAAAAAAATATATACACTGAACATATACACATTTTCTCTATAAATAATAATCCAAAAATTATTTTGTTTCTTTTAAATCTCTCTACAAAACACCCAAAAAATGAGATCATCTTTATGTGACGATAAAAGAAGAGCTCTCATTTTTTGTTATTTAGCGATGGGCTGTTACCAATGGTAGAAACAAGCACAACAAGAAGGAGCGGAATTATCCCAGCACTACTTAATGACTACTTTAATACTCCATGTATTTACACATCGGAGGATTTTAATGATCATTTTCGGATGAAGAGTTCCTTGTTTTTACGCATACTCGCCAATATTGAAGGCGAGGTGCCTTGGTTCACTCAACAGTTTGATGCAAGAGGCCAGTGCAGTTTTAGCAGCGTCCAAAAGTGCACTGTCGCGCTTCGTCAGATGGCATACGAGACAACTAGTGATATCTTTGATGAATACTTGAAGATGTCGGCTCTAAACATCAAGTCGTATGTTTATAAATTTTCTAAAGCAATTATTTGACTTTATCATGAGGAGTATTTACATAAAATAACAGCGAGTGACATTGAGAAGTTACAAGCAAGACATGCCGCTAAACACGCCTTTGTCGGCATGCTTGGAAGCATCGATTACACGCATTGGAAATGGAAAGATAGTCCCACTGCGTGGCATGGTCAGTTCTCCCGATTGATCAATTCAAGCCTACTATATATTATGCTCGAGGTTGTGGCTTTGACATGCTATTTTTTGTGTCGCGGGCTCGAATAACAACATCAATGTTCTTGGCCAATCACCCGTGTTTGACGATTGGGTTAATGAGACTCCACTCGACTCGCCTATTGAGCTTAAAGGGACGCTTTACAAGCATGGATATCATTTTACCGATGAAATATATCTAAATTATTCCATAATTGTCAAGTCCCTCTCGGAATCAATTAGTCTTAAATGACAGACCTACAAAAAAGGTCATGAGGCGGCGAGAAAAGATATCGAACGAGCCTTGGGGTCTTTAAGGGCAATTATCAAAAAATGAGGGATATCATGTACACACATATTATTCTTCATAATATGATTATAGAGGACATCAGATTTAATTTGCAATTTGTCATTACAGTCCGAACGAGCTGAGGAGGCGCCAACTTACAAAAAAATCGATAAAGAAAAGAAATGAAGAAACAACCAAGAAAATCAAACCCGAGAGATTCACAATGTACTAACGGTGGATTTAATTTTAAGCTCAAACAATCATTAATTTCTTCGTATTGAAGTAATTTTTAATTTCTTATTTATGTGTTTATTATTAAAATATTTTTTTATTAATGTATTTTATTTATTTAATGAATTATTATTGTTTAATTTAATTGATTAGTTTTTATTAATTAACTTTTACAAAATGTGCATTAAAAAATTTAAAAAATAAAGGTTTGAAGCCCTAATTTGAAGCTTTGGGGCTTCAAATCCATTTCCAGTTACTGATGTGGCAGAGAGAAAATATTATTTGAAGTCTAAGTTTGAAGCACCAGATTTCAAACGTATTTCCAGTACTCTTACACGTTGGTATTATATGTCTATTTTTTGGTATAAACACAAAATATTAGAAGTTCTATTTTAATTTATGAAACATATTTTAGTCATTACTAAGTAGTTTAATTTTCTCAAGAGTTCTTAATGGGAAGAGTTATTTAATTAAATGTTTGAGGATCATGAGTGCACACGTCTAGCAACGTTAGTTTCATTGCATTTCATAATTCAAAACTAATTAAATTAAATCAATGCAAACAAAAACAAATTAGGAAGATGATAAAGAGTGTCCAAACATAGAGACAGCTTAAGCAAATTAGACATCAAAGACAGCAAGTGCCCTTTATGGCCGACCCGCAGGCCACTCTCCATGTTGCTCCATCTCTCTTCTTAAGGCTTTCTGCATTTCGTTCGCATGATCTCATCTGATCTATTCTGATTTTTTGAAGATCTGATCTATTGAACGCTGCCTAACTATCTTCCTTCTTTCGACAACAAGGGCCGGTATCATAAATCATATTATGACAATAACTCTAATCGGAGTACCTACAGTACTTGATCGTAAAATTGATGATTCATACCACTAAACCTCCCGCCCTGGTCAACCCTGAACCCATTCTCCCAATCCCTTTAATTTTATTTACAAATTCATTTGACTTTTAGGTCAAAAAATTGACCCAAAACTCAAATAAATTTGGAGAATAAAATTGAAGATCGAGGTTGGGGGATGGGTTCGGGGCAGACGGGGGTTTAGCGCAGGAGAAGAGGGGTAGGAACCATCAATTTTACGATCGAAGCACCGTAGATATTTCGATTGGAGTTGTCATATTATGACATTATTTTTAGTTATCAAAAAATTTTGTGGTTCATTTTAATTATCTTTTCCCTGCATAATTCCAACCTTACAATTTAATTTTCTTGAGATTTCGTGTAAAGAATAAATGAGAAGATGCTAGAGAAATCCAACCTTGCAATATCCAATATATTCTTTATTTAATTTATGTTAGAATATAAGAAACATTTCCCGGCCACAACCACAAGCTTGAGCTTTTAGTTAAATTTGTTCATTGACATGATACCGGAGCATTGTTGACTAAGAGGTTATGGGTTCGAAATTCAGCACCACCCAGTTTTTAAAAAAATTAAGGTTTAATGTGTAAGGCTTGAAAAATTTTTTGATTCCAAAATCAATTAAATTTTGTAACATGTCACCCGAACTACACCCTTTAAAATTACTTTACAATTATGATGGTAAAAAATTACTCTGTATTACGTAGTGCTTTTTTTGGATAACATGTAAATATATATAACGGGCATCCTCGAACCCCTACCAAGGAGTATATAAGAATATCTCGATCCATCAAATACTTTTAGGGCATTTAGTAAATGAAATTGACAGAATTGAAATAGAAATTAAAATTCTATGAAATCGACTTCTCCAATTTCAGTTCATTTTTTATACTACCAATTCCAAATCCACATATTCTTGTACTATCAAATAATAGAATTAGAATAGTTGTCTCCAATTCCAATTTCATAATTTAAATTCTGAGTATCAAAGAGAGCCTTACTTTAATTTATTGATTTTTTAATAAGTAAATTTTGTGTGACGCTTAATGCGCATATTATAGTATGATTTGGCATTAGTACAATATGACTCCGTTTAAATTTGAAGTGACATTAAACGAAGGAAAAATTACCCAAAATAATCCCAACTTTACCCGGTTTTTCAAAAATAATCACACCTTTCACTGTGATGCATAATAATCCCAACTTTACTGAAATTTGCCAATTTTGGGTCGCCGTTAAGTGTCTAACGGAGGGTTAACGGAAATGCCCATTTTGGGCAACAAAATGAAAGTTGGGATTATTTTTGATGAATTTTTGTTTTTTAATTTTTTTTTTTGAAATTTTTTATTTAAATTTTTTGAATTACTTTCTACCTCCATCATCATTTCTTTTTCTTTTTTAAAGATTAGTCTTAGTTTTAAAAATAAAAATAATAGATATAAAAAATGAAAAAAATGAGAAATGTAACTAAAATGATACAAAAATAATAAAATAAATAAGGTAATCAATGGAAACTAACTTGAAATTGGTAAAAGTAAAATAAAAATATACGGGTGAGTTTTAATATTTTACGTATTATACAAAGTATTAACATATCACTACTTATTTTTTAGAAAAAATTATCTACAATAATTCCAATTTTACCGGA